ACGGAGCTAAGAAAACAAACAACACACGCAAGAATTCATCCTAATATTTCTAGTTCAAATATTGATAGCTTTATCTTACAATATGCATAAAATAACTTAAAATTATAAATCAGTATTACTACTACCAGTAAACCTACAGGACAATGCTTAATATTTAACTGTAGTACCTTTTTAAAAAAAGATATATTTATTTATTTTAGAGAGCATGAGAGAGTGGGATGGGGGAGCAGAGGAAGAAAGAGAGAATCTCAAGCAGACTGCTGAGCATGGAGCCTGAAGTCCAAGCTCCACAGAGTTCAGTCTCACAACCTTGAAATCATGACTTGAGCTGAAGTCAAGAGCCAGACACTTAACTGACGGAGCCACCTAGGCACCCTTAACTATGGTACTTTTAATCTTTAGAGTATAGCTACTAAATATATGCTGTCACATAACTGTTTTCAAAAGTATTTAATCTTTTTATCTGCAATGTTAAAATTTGATATATCAGGTTTTATTATCAGTGTTACACTTGGTTCTTATTTCTTTTTTATGTATTTTTTACATTTTTTGAATATATGAAACATTTACATTATTCAAAAGTTAAAACCCTATGAAAAATATGCTCAGATGGGCAGCCCCGGTGGCTCAGCGGTTTAGCACCTGCCTTCAGCCCAGGGCGTGATCCTGGAGACCCGGGATCAAGTCCCACGTCAGGCTCCCTGCATGGAGCCTGCTTCTCCCTCTGCCTGTGTCTCTGCCTCTCTGTGTGTGTGTGTGTGTGTCTCATGAATAAATAAATAAAATATTAAAAAAAAAGAAAAAATATATGCTCAGAAAAGTCTTATATCCATCTCTATCGCTTCTACTTCACTCCTTCCCTCAACAGGTAACTTAGAATGGACAAAGCTCACTACTGAAAGACATTTTTGAGACAATAGGTAAAATAGTTTCTTCCTCTGAGTTTTAGGTGAAGCCAAGGTATAATTGTATTAATATGGTTATGATATTGGGGTTACGTAGGTATAAAATGACATTTGAAAAAGAGTGATAAAGATTTGCAAATCAGTACATATAGAATGACCATTAGAAATATGATAGGGTTTCCTGGGTGGTTCAGTCAGTTAGGCATCCAATTCTTGGTTTTGGCGCAGGTCATGATCTCAGGATGGTGAGACAGAGCCCCACATCAAACCCCACATGGAGCCGTGCATCAAGCTCTGGACTGGGCATGGAGCCTGGTTGGAATTCTCTTTCTCCCTCTCCCTCGACCTCTCCCCTCAGTCCCCCCAAAAGAAAAATGTGACAAACCTGTCCTCTTGTAACAGATGCCTGGTACTAACCTCTTCTTAAGACAAATCTTTGAAGATCTGGAAGTTGTGTTATATCTTACTTATTGCAAGTTGCTGATTGAAACCCAAGCATTACAAAGAGCCAACACCCCATTTCTCCACCTCTAAGAAGCAGAGGTCTCTCCTTTTTACTCTAATTAACCTTCTCAAGAAAAAACAACTTGTTCTTACAAGATTTTTTTCACTGGCCAAGTCTTTTGTAAACTTTATCTCATTACTTCAAGCCAAACATGTGAAATAAGCCAGAGGTTGCAAACTAATGGCCTTAGGGCCACATGTGGTCCACGATCTATTTCATTTGGCTCAAAATGTTTTCAAGTATTTTAATTAGGTACTGCGATTTAGAAACCAAAGGATTTTTCATTAAAAATCTAGATATCTAGGTTCTCCTGAAAAGTTGGAAGTCTTGATGAAGGGACCTAGTATTCCACATTGGAACTAGGTGGAGCTATAAAGCCCCTGGCCCCCTTTAGATAGGATATGTGCCAGGCCACATTTTGTTACCATCTTGGTTCTAAGGACATTTGAGTGTGCAGCTCTTCTGAGTTTAAATGTCTCTCCTAAACATGACCCATACTGAGAACTCAATTCAAGGCTTGTTTCCCCTCTACTGTTCAAATCTATAGACTAGCTTTGGCTTTCTAGCCATGTCATTGGACTTTAACCCCTGTCTAGATCCCTGCAGCAAGCTTTGCTCCAAGATCATTGTCTAGAAGCTGGCCCAAGCTGTCCTATGTAGCCACAGATAGAATTACTTAGTGGTCACTGGGAGCCACTGTGATTCCATTAGGAGGCAATCATCTGGGATTCAACCAGCCTCCTCCCAAGTACTTGAAGAAAATTCTAGTTAAGGATTTTTTTCTCTCAAGTGGCATCAAACCTCTGACTCCTTTCTACAAAGCCCCAGGGCTCTAAATGTCAACTTTCCGGTTGGTGGTAAGTATCCAGGACTCAGTGACCCTCCTCACTCTCTAGTAAGTTCTAATCAGAGGTCCCAGACCACCTTCTTAGTAGCTTCTCATTAATTAGAGCAATGGAGCAAAGAAGGTGTGAGCAAAACTCTGATACCCCAGACCCCAGTGGAAACCTCGACCTCCACTGGCCATAAACCTGAGGGCAGACAATCCAGGCATTCCTCCTGTCTGTCCACCCTGGGCCACATGCCAGCACTTCTAGGAGCTCTCCTCTCACATACCAGATTCTTCCTTCTTGTATTGAAGCACAGTACAGTCCTCTTTATTTTTTTTAAGATTTTATTTATTCATGAGAGACAGAGAGAGAGGCAGAGGGAGAAGTAGGCTCTTCACAGGGAGCCCAGTGTAGGACTCCATCCCAGAACCCCAGGATCACGTACTGAGCCAAAGACAGACTCTCAACTGCTGAGCCACCCAGGCATCCCTACAGTCTTCTTTATGATCCCTGCTCATAATAAATGTCCCACCTTCTTCCACCTGTCATCCATGGCCCACAGTCCGCCTCATTTACTCAAGGCTTTGGAACTTGGTTTACAGTTTCCCTCACCATCCCAGTTTATCCCACCATGCATTCTCCTTCCACCAATCTCAAAGGTGCCTGAGCTAGATCCTGTTAACAATCCACACCCTGCAACAAATGGTCCATATCCATACCTCCTCCCACCTTCTCACTAGTCTCTGAGACATAATTCTTTCTGTCCAAGAAGAATCCTCCCAACCTCCTTCACAGACTTATACTTTCTAGTCTCACATTATCAATTTATGTCATGCACACACTATTGTTATTTTTCTATGTCCACCCTTTTATACTGTAAAAACTCAGATTTGTCCCAATTTCAAAATTCCTGCTTTATCTATGTCCTTGTCCAAATGGCCAGAGGTCTCAAAAGAATTGTCTGTATTCACTGTCTACTTCTTTCCCTTTTGTTCTATCTACTGCTAGCTGGATCCCACCCTCACTACTGACAATTCTCTCATCAAAACCAGCAAAAACTCTTGATTGATTTAATTATAATCATTTATCTGTTGATTTATTTTGATACTATTATAGTTATTTCATATAATAATTTTTTCCTTTCTAGTCTCTACCTCTAATTTTTTATGTATTGAACTGGCTAGGATCACCAATATATGTTAAATAGAAATGCTGATAAGCAGTATCCTGTCTCCTAATCACAAGGGGAGAGTTTTTTAAAACAAACTTTTATGGAAGTACCATTACATTCAAAGGATACATTTTTTTGGATTTTCTCTACTTTTCTGAGTTTTCATATGTTTTGTAACTTGACCTTTGTACTTAATATATAAGCATTGTCATTAAATATTATATAATTAAATATTCCTCTATAGCATCTTAATACCTATATGGCATTCCATCATAGGCTTAGACCTTTATTTAACTAATCTCCTGGTGTCTTAGTCTGTGACAAATTTATCACCTTCCTTTTCTTTTTCCACAAAGACGTCTATTTATAGATGCTTAGTATGTATGAGGCAGGTACTATTCCAGGCACTAATTGGACTATAAAGCTAAAATAGCACTCAGGAAAATGAGTTTGGGTAGAAGATCCATATACTTAAGGAAGAGCTTGGGCAAAGGATGGAGGAAGTTTGGACTTCTGGAATAAGGTGCTGGAAGAACTGAGGTGATGAAGAACTAGAGAGACATGCAGAGACCCAGGGCTGAATTTTATCCTGAAAGCAATGGAGAAGCAGCTGAAAAATATGATTCAATTTGCATTTTTAATAAGTTCTCTAGCGGACTCCTTTTATTTTTAAAGATTTGAGAAAGGAAGCGAGCAAGCTAGCAAGAGTATAAGTGGGAGGATCGGCAGAGGGAGAGGGAGAAGCAGACTCCTCATTGAGCAGGGAGCCCAATTTGGGACTCATCCCAAGAGCCCAGGATTATGACCTGGGCCAAAGGCAGAGCTTAACCGACTGAGTCACCCAGGCACCCCCACCCCTGCTGACTCCTTTTAAGTCTTCAGCTCTCCCTAAAGGTTCACCTGATGACTCCCAACTGATGATCGGATTAACCTGTCAGCCAAGATGTTACCAGTCCTCTGGCCACAACCCCACCAGGTCAGTCTCAACATAATGGCACAGCCCAATATGACACACTTTAAATCACTGAAGAACATACAGAAATTTATTGAAAGCTTTTCAGGGATGAAGGAGGGGTTTACACAATATATGGCAGCAAAAACTTATATAAATATATTTGAATATTCCCCACAAAGGGTTTACACAATATATGGCAGCAAAAACTTATAAATATATTTGAATATTCCCCGCAAAAGTCCTACTACATATATTAGTGGCCCAAATACTTTTATGAAGACTCTAGCTTTCTCCTTACCACCTCTTCCTTTGGCCCCACCCTAGTGCTCTCCTCTGCATCTCTTGATCTTTTTTCTGTACTATTAATCTGATCATCTAGTAATTCAGTCTGTTGACATTTTGGATGTTTGTTCAGGTGGGGAATAAGGGAACAAGAAAGTACAAAGAAGAGAGGACAAAAATATGCAGGGGAAGATAGTAATGGCTTTTGGTTTGCTCTCAGCAATGAATGCTGGAGTTGCCACTCATTTTTAGAGTTATAACACATTATATCCCTCAATTTTACAACTTCTGGTATTTTCACAAATAAAATATTTTAAAGTAAAAAAAAAATCTCCCCTCTCCCTCATAGAAGTCATTCTTGATATCTTAAAGAAACCCAAGTGAGACTACACTTAAGATTTATAAGCATGAGCTTGAGTGCCTTTGTCCACTGCTCCTCTGTGTTCAAGTATGTTCTGATGGAATAGAACTCACCAGTGCTTCCAGAGTCCTCCATTAGGCCATTCTTCACATGAATCCTGCAGGGTAAGCAAAGACCCCACTTGCCTTTCTCAGCCTCTTCCTTAAACTGTTGCATGCAGTCCAAAAAAGCCATCATTGCCTGGTCAAACTTGAGGTCCAAGCAAGTGCTCTGCTTCATGATGCAGAACAATGGCAGCTCAACAGGGTCATTTGTTAAAGACTTCAAATAGGACCGGTTTCCACAGGGGATGAGTTGATACCTCTGAAACTCCAGCCCAATCTTGTTGGATAGGGCAAGGAGCAACAAAGCTGTCTGTCCCCAAGCCATGTTAATCTCCTTCCAGCTCACAGGGACAGTGGGGAGGCAGCCCAATCTGAAGCTATTGATGATGCCCACAGGGCCATCATACCTGATCTCAAAGGTCGCACTGAAGACATTGGTCTTCTTCAGCCTGCCCCACTGGATTTGGGCATGTCTCAGCTGCTTTTCCATGCTCTTCAGCTCATCCTGCAGTTCCAGTTGCTGCCATTTCAAGTTACTGTAGTCCTTCCAGTACTGCTTGTCCTGTTGTTCCAGCATCTCAGTCTCTGCCTGGGCTGCCTCAAGATCCTCTGCAACTCTTTCTTGTTTTTTCTCCACCTCCTTCAGCTCTTGGACCAGCCTTGCCTCCTCCAGCTCCAGGCCCTCCAGTTCCTCCTGCAGTGTCTTCATCTCCTCCTCACATATCCTCCCCCTCCAATATTTGTAGTTCTCGTTCTCAGAGTCTACAATAATGAGTTGAGTATCCAGCACCTCTAAAAGTTTGTCAGTACAGTCTTCACATAGGGGGTGATCCACATATTTTTCACCAGTGAGGATGTCAAAAATGTCCCTGGTAGTGTTCTGGATGTTACTGAGCGTTCTTGCAGAGTCAAACTTCCCAAGCAAGATGAAGTTCTTAGCACTGTCCCCGAACATCTTGCCATCTCCAGGGAGGGTAGAGCAGGAGGCATCTGGCAGCTTTTCACTATCTATCTCCACCTTGGAGGTAGGGCCACGTACCAGGGTTTCTCTTGGCTCCTGCTGAGCTGACGTGAATGTGGAAGCTGCAGGTCTTTGGGTGGTCTCAAGGCCCAAGGTCCCCGTGGACTGGCTCAGCCTCATGGGCTGCCTGCAGCCCTGGCAGATGAAGCGGATGGAAGACATGGTGAAGGCTTCAGCTCTTACTCTGATTCCACGTTTCCTCTGGCCCCCACTTACTTATCCATTTATATCTTTTATAAGCTTCTTTAAAGTAGTGATTCTTTTAAAATGTGTATTTCATCTTGTCACTCTTCTACTTAAAACCTTACATTGATACCCTCCTTAGATACCTTTAGGCCTCCTTTAGCTCCTTTTAGACAAATGATTCTTTCTAAAAGGAAAATCTGATCATCTCACTTTGTCCTTTAACATTTCCAAGATATATCTTAAGAGTAATCTTTATAAACTAAGCTCTCATCATGGTACTTCCCTCCTTAAAATGGTATTACGCTCTTATCTTACCTTAAAATTAAATCCCATCATCTTAACCTGACACCAAGGCCTCTGCTCATGTTCCCACCTATTTCTCTCCCAATTTCCTGCTGCCTTCACCCATGGGCTTCTCTATGGTCCCTTGAGTGATGGATGGAAATCATCTATTATACAAAGTATGCCTTTCTTACCCTGATACTTCTCCCCAAAGTACTGGGGAATAGCAGAATAAGTTTGGAACTGCTTTTGATGTCATAGTTAATCCTGAGTCCTGATTCATCCTTGGGAGTAGAATGGCAAAGTATTCATTGCTAAAGGCTAAATCTCATTTTAAGTACCCATCCACCAAAACCAAACAAATCAAAGCCACACCTAGCTTTGAGCTTGAACCAGCCTAGACAGATGATGCTCCAAATAATCTAAGGAACACAGTGGCAGAGTACAGATTGTTTCAGACTCTGGTTTATCTAACTGAGTGATGGCCTTCAGGATAATCCAGAATCCAACTGTGGAGCCTTCCTTTAGTGAAGGAATGAGTGGAAGTGAGTGTCACTTTTAGTTGAGAAGGAAATCTCTTATTTCTGGAGATCTTCCTTCCAATTCTTACCTCCTCATCCCAAGGTCTCCTTTGGGAAGATTAGGGGGAGCCCAAGAGTGAGGATTCTATGGGTTAGAGGGTATAAGGGACCTGGGTTTTATGCACTACTGTATTGCCAGCACTTAGACGAATTACCTTATCCCTCTTCCCTTTCCAACCTTTGCTCCTTTTGGGGGGCCTTTTCACACACCTCTAGGAAAGATTTGTCTGTACCTTCTATCTCCAATTCCTCTCCTTCCATTCTCTCTTAAACCCACCATGATTCAACTTTAATCTCAGCAATCTATAGAAAGTCTTCATATCAAGGTCACAGATGTTATCTATGTTGTTAAATTTAATCTTGGTGGAATAGGAAGAAAGCTCTTTATCCAAAAGCGAGTATGAGGAAGAGATGTGAGAGTCACCTAGGTGAGCAGGAGAGTGAATGGAGGAGAGAAGTGGTATGATTGCTCTTCACTTGTAAAAGTCCACATGGGACTTGCTGTAATGATTAAGTGTACATTTTTGTCCAGCCACTCACCTCCATGGGTTTGTCAAGCAAGCAAGACTAAGCCAGGGAGGCAGGAGAGAAGATGCCAGCAGGGAAGTAGTTAGGAAGGTTGACTGCAATATATACTGCGAAAGAACGGGGATGGGAGGGAGACACAGGGAAAAGGTGGAAGAGTTGATGTACTTCTGTTCTGGGAGGTTGAGGGGGTGTTGGAGTCAGGATATTAGGAGACCAAATGAGTAAATACAGGAGGTAGCCAGAGGGTGTGCATAAAATGGATACAACAGAGGACTTACTCCCTGCAGTCCATAATCATCTTTCATTTCCCCATCCCGAAACAAATGACCTTTGTTTGGCTCCTCCAGGCATATGGCACAGTATTCTGGAGCCAGAGGGACTTAGATTCTAATCTTGATTACTTAACAGATTATTTAGCCCCTTTGATGCTCAGATTCTTCATTTGAAAATGAATGAAACAGAAGCCATCATAAGAGGATTGTTTGATGAGTAACCAAGATGATGTTTGGAACCTCAAACAGCATTAGTTTCCTCTGACTCCCAGTCTCCAATATGGCTGGTGCCTGGCTTTCTCCTCCTTGTACACCTTAAACTTCTCAGAAGAGAAGTTCACTACTTCTCACTGTTTCCAATCCTCATCAAACCTCTTTCAACCTCTGCAGTCTGGCATCTGTCTCCATAATTAATGGGATAAAATGGTTCTTGCTAAGGTCAGCAATTAATTAAGTAGCACACCCCAAAGCATCTTTTCTGTTCTCTTCTGAATTGTTGCTCATTCTTTAACATTTGAGGTGATTAGGATACCTGGGTGGCTCAGCAGTTGAGCATCTGCCTTTGGCTCAGTGCATGATCCTGGGTCCAGGGATCGAATCCCACATTGGGCTCCCCGTGAGGAACCTGCTTCTCCCTCTATGTCTCTGCTTGTCTCTGTGTATCCTTCATGAATACATAAATAAATCTTAAAAAAAAAAAAATTCAAGGCTTTGTATACCCATGTTCATAGAAGCCTCATTCATCATAGCTAAAAGGTAAAAGAAAACTACATGCCCATCAATGAATAAATGGAATGGATAAACAAAATGTGGTATATATATATATATATATATATATATATATATATACACACGGTAGATATACAGTAGAGTATTATTCAGTCTTAAAAAGGAAAGAAATTCTGACTCATGCAACAATCTGGACATTTGAGGATGTTATGCTAAGTGAAATAAGCCAATCCACAAAAGGACAAATATTGCATGATTCCACTTAAATGAAGTACCTAGAGTAGCTAGTGTGGAGGCCGAGAAAAATTAAGGCCATCCCACCTCAAGTTTAGCATTAGCACAAGTACAGCCATCTTAGGCCCCTGTGAATAAGAGCTGAACTTTAAAGGGAAAAATTGCAGAATGTCCTCAATGTCCTCGGCAGGTAATCCCATATCAGAAAGATAACAGAGCCCACGCCCATGGTAGAAAATCCCCTAGACCAGCCTAATTCTTCCACCCCTTCTGGAAATCCCCTAGACCAGCCTATAAAAAACCCAGCTGTAACCCACTTCGAGGTCCAAGTCCCGCTCCACTGTGTCAAGTATACTTGGACCCAAGCTCCAGCTTGTAAATAAACCCTAGTGTGTTTGCATCCGTGTCAGCTCCTTGGTGGTTTCTCAGATTCGCAGTCTTGGGCACAACAGCTAGATACAATTTATAGAGAAAGAAAGAACAGTGGTTGCCAGGGGTTGGGGGAAGAAAGGTCCTCTATAAATCACTGTGATATTGTGACTTACACACACACACACATATTTGTCTTCTAAATTCATGCCACAGAACTCCTAACCCTTGGAATTTCCTAGGCAAAGAGAGGGATCAAGGTGTCTTTTGTTATGTTAATGAAGCAACTCTCAGAAAGCTCCTAAAGTTGAGGGCTGATTATCAGGAGAACCAACCATGTGATTGGAGGGTTGGAACTTTTAGCTCCACCCCCTGACCTCCAGGAGGGGAGTGAGGCTGGAGATTAAATCAATGAGCAATGGCAAGTAATTTAATCAACTGTTTATATAATGTAGTCTCCATGAAAACCTAAAAAAGGAGTTGGCTCAGAGAAGTTCTGGGTTGATGAACATGTGGCAATGTGGGGAGAGTGGTAATCCTGGAGAGGGCATGGAATCTCCACAACCTTCCCACATACCTTGCTCTATGCATCGCTTTCATCTGACTATTCCTAAATTATATCCTTTTATAACAAATTGGCAATCTAGTAACTAAATGTTTTCCTGTGATCTGTTAGCTGCTCTGGCAAATGAATCAAATCTGAGGAGGGGTCCAAGGAATTATTTGGTCACAAGCCCAGATGACAACCTGAACTTGAAGTAATTGGCATCTGCAGTGGGGAATTTCCCAGTTGGTGTCAGAATTGCTTCGTGTGAGGAAAAAAAACCACACACTGGAATTGGGAGCAGAATGCTAGTTGGTGTTAGAGTATTCAGGTGATAGTGTTTAATGGGTGCAGAGTCTTAGTTTGGAAAGATGAAAAGTTCTGGAAATGATGATGGTGGTGATGTTTGCATATGTGGGGAGGAAAAACTATTCTACCCTTCAAATTCTTCTAGCAGGCCTAAGAATTAAATTGACATGACAGATTAACTGGAGAAGATAACATTTAATTTCATAAGTAAGGAAAATCAACAAAAACATTCCAAACACAGGCAAAAGTGAGCTATATATGTTGTCCTGAACTAAGGAGAAGGAATTGGGGTCTGGAATTTCCAAGGGAAAGAAAGCAATATGCAGGAAGATGAAAAGGGGTAAATGTTTGGTAAACAAATGTTTGCTGGGCTTTTCAGAAACAGGAATTTTTAACAAATAGATTGCTAAAATTTATCCTCCCTGTCTACTATTCCTCATTCATATTATACTGTAGTTGTCTATGGTGATAGCTCCCATCCTGGAGCAGGTCCTCCAAATAAATTTTTTAAAAAATTTGGGAGAAGGTTGAGATTTCTTCTTAAGAATTTTGGTCCTTGGGCAGTCCCGGTGGTGCAGCCGTTTAGCGCCGCCTGCAGCCCAGTGTGTGATCCTGGAGACCTAGGATCGAGTCCCATATTGGGCTCCCTGCATGGAGCCTGCTTCTCCCTCTGCCTGTGTCTCTGCATCTCTCTCTGAATGAATAAATAAATAAATCTTAAAAAAAAAAAAAAGACTTTTGATCCTTGATGGTTTTCATTTCAAGATAATCTGCATGCTGAAGTGACACTTCCAGGGTGATTCATTCTGAACTCCTCCACATAAGGTAAGTGTACTTAATACCAATGCACACTTAAAAATTGTAAAGATGGTATTTTATCAACATTAAAATATAATGAAAGAAATTAAAGGGCCTTTCTAAAGTGACTCTCTCTCTGCAGTGTCCTTGGGGTAATAAGATAGCTATTAGGAACTTTCCTAGAGATTTAAAATGTCCTGGGACTCTCAGATGGGCTCAAAGTACAAGATCCATCATAAACTAGAAAAAATAGAGCTCAAAAATGCTAAGCAAATATGCCTCTGTTTGCTATGATTAAAATGAAAAAAAAAATCTGTTATGTGTCTCTTA